CTCGTCACGGCCACAGGCACGCAGGTAGTGCGCGTGCGCACCAACACAACGGGGCTCACTCTCAGCGCCGCCCATTTTGCACGGGGCCCCCCGCTCAGCCCAACTACATGTAACGGCAAAAACGTATCTAAAGAGCAGCTCACCGGGACACGGGGAGCTCAGGAGAAGTTTCCACTGCAAGCGAGGAGGTACCGGAGGCGTTTTAAGAGCTCTCATGGCCCGGCCCCCCCGCCCCGCAGCGCCCCACGCTCAGCCCAACTACGTGTAACGGCGAAAACGTATCTAAAGAGCAGCTCGCCCCTAGGGGCAGGTCTCTGGGACACGGGGAGCTCAGGAGAAGCTTCCACTGCTAGAGAGGAGGTACCGGAGGCGTTTCAAGAGCTCTCATCCCCCTGGAGTAGATGGAGCACCTGAAGTACAGTCTGAAACTAAATGGCTTGTGTGTGACTGGTTTTATTTTTTGCACCCTTGCACTCTTGCATCTGGACAATTCATGCTGCTTTTCTCCTTATGCAAACCAAAATCTTTCGCCTGTAATTACGATTAAATGCTGGTCTTTAGATTTGTTCGTAGGAAAAGTTATGTCTGAAACCAAACTCGCCTTGACTTCAGATGACAGAGAGAGACAGTCTTATGGTCCAGGGACCAAGGAAAAAATGTACACATCTAAAAAGTTCTGGTAACAAAATTGATAGGCTTTCTTTCTTTCCCTTGGGTAATCACTGGAAAGCTCTATTCCTTGTTTGCTTGTTCCAGTTGCAAACTGCAGAGAAAATAACAGCAATATCTGCTTTGTAGAATATATTTTTGAGCGTCTGATTGCTGAAATGTGTATTTTTACATAGCCATGTTTTGCATATTTTACAATATACTACACTCTTTATCCAATTAATAACGATTAACTTGTATCTGCCCCCTCTCTAAATGTTTTGTTACTTGGCACAACCACAACCAATGTGTTTCTATTGGCCAGGGTTTGTGTTTTTAAGAAAAAATCTAGCCATTTCTGTTTGTTACCCCTTCATGCACCCTCAATAACCTAAGTCTGCTGTCAGAAAGATCACTTTGTTTATGCTATGATTTATTTCACTTTCTTTCCTTGCATGAATTTAAAACCATGTGATTTCAAGGAAGGCTTGCGAGGGTTTTAATGAACACCTAGGTGTGACTGCCAAGAGTGACCTAGGAGAACTGCTAATAAAAGAACTGCCTGGACGGAGCATTCACTTGGATGTGACCAGTCACTCCAAGGCTGCCCTTTAATAAATGAACACAGGAGTTTCCACTTGCATTTAGGGCACACCAATATAATCATTTAGAAGCTCAGGTTTTATATTGACAGTTGGCAATATTTTCAAATACGCTGAAGGGTAATTTGAATATAACATGGGATAATTTGCAGCACAGCTGTCTATTGCTAAGGCAATGCAAGGCTGGCTTTTGGTGTTTCCAATTAGGTATTTTTTTCTTCTAGTAATATTCTTGCAACTGAAAATGAACTGTTCAACCCTGACATGTGAATCTACAACCTTTTAAAGAACTGTCATTCAGAGTCAAGTAACATTAATAGTAAGGCTCAAGTGAACTGCAAAACTACTTCTTCCAAAAGGCTTCTGTCAGAGATGAATTCACATTGGGGAAAATTCTTTGTTACTTGCAAGAAAAACAGATTTAACCAATGCTTGGCAGTTCTTCCAAATCGTTGGTGTTTTATATTTTCACTGCAGTTTGAGAGACAGACTAAATTCAGTTAAACGCTGCCAATATTTTGACAACAGCCTTCCAACAAAAAATCTTTCCTTAGTTTGTAACAAATGTCATGTGTTATTTTATTATTTTTGGAAAGGGGAGGGATGAGAAGCTGGGAAGGTATGTTGCTTAAACAATACTTCTCCTGTAAAGCAAATATAGACTTTGTCAGTTCTTGAAAGAAATGTGTATATCAGTTATACGTTAGTATAGAATAATACTCAGCTTTGGTAATTTGAAGTAAGTTGTGTCACTGAAGAATTTGCATAGCAGCAACATCCCTAAGAAACACTGTCTTCAAATTGGTGCTACAGAAATATTTTG